TAGATTATCCAGACAGAATGTTAAATTTTTTAAATGTAATATGTACTTTTTATTGCAAATTCGGATTACATACACAAAAAAAAGAAACTTTTACCACAAACATTTTTTCTGAATATGCCATTCACTGACCTTAAAATTATATAAATAAGTAATGAAAAAAAGAAAATAATTGTTGTTGGCATAACCCAGGCCCAATCACATATGTGTAATAATTACATGCACAATTATCATATGTAATTTTTGGGGGATTTTTTTATAAAAACCCCCCAAAAAAATTTCTTTCGTTTTTTAATGAATAGCGCGGGTAGTTTGGTAGCCAGTTGAGTGCATTTACTACAATCGCTTACTGAGCGCTCACAATCAGTGAACTCTTGTACTTGTTCGACCTATATTTTCAGATCTAAGGGAATATTTAAATACAAGAGCTCACTGATTAAAGCAGCGTCTATGATGAAATTTTAAGGTAAAACTTAAGCTTTAAACTCTAAACGGTAAGAAATTAACCAATTACAATAGAATGTGATAAGAATACTCTACTATAATACTTTATGATTGGTCTATTTCTTACGGTTTACAATTAGGGCTTAAAGTTTAAATTTTATGTCTTATATATAATCCGGATCTATAATAGATTTTTAAACCTTAAACCATAAGAAGTAGACGAAATAGTCAATTATTCTCCTAGCATTCGACTGCAATTGGTCAATTTCTTACGGCTTAAAGTTTGAAACACCTATTGTAGATTTAAACTAAAATCTCATTGTAGATGCCGCTTAAAACCGGACTGTACAAACTTTACTTTGACTTTAAATGAGATATAAAATTCTTTCCGTTTTAAAATCGAAAGAGAGACAGTTTTGAATCTCACTTAAAGTCAAAGTAACGTTTACTACGTTTAAACGGCACGCTTTACGTCGAAGTTATAACATCGATGTTATGAAACTAGCAAATCACAGTCATTCCATTCTTCAGAGGAATAGCTATGATTGGTCAATTTTATAACATCGATGTTATAACTTCGACGTAAAGCATGCCGTGTAACAGAAATCATAGATGCAATCGGACCTAAGAGTAAAAAAACTGATAATGTAACGCTAATTTTATGATTTATTAGCTTCGTAGATCTATGTATACATATTTAAAATTCAATGTAATACTCGTTTTTTTGTTAAACTTGTGATTTTAATGTATCGTATGAGTTTGATTATCAATAGAGATGATAACCATGTAGAGAAAAAAAAAGTAATTTTGCAGCATTATACATTATAGCATTACAAGTATACATTTATGCAGCACTTATATAATAAAAAACATAATTGTAATAATATACTATCCAAATATAAGATGTCCCGACCTTTTTTGCCAATCACTTTTGTGTAGATAGAGCGGACTAAACTGAGTCGAAAAGTCCTCTACCATTTTGCAATTTTCGCAATAGTTAACAAGATATTAATTACTAAAAATTGCCAAATATTGGCCTTGAATAACTTTTTACTCAAATATAAATACTATCAATTTTATAGAAAAACTACAAGAGACAACAATTATTTATTTTCTTCTCATAAAGTTCTGAGAATTTTTTCAGAATTTTTTATCAACTTTTTAGTACTGCATTTTCTTATTTTTACCAACATGAGAAAATACGGTATTAAAAAATTTTGAAAAAATTCTCCGAACTCTATGAGAAGAAAATAAATAATTTTTGTCTCTTGCAGTTTTTCTGTAAAGTTGATAGTATTTGAGTAAAAAATTATTCAATACCAATATTTTGCAATTTTTAGTAATTAATATCTTGTTAACTATTGCGAAAATTGTAAAATGGTAGTGGACTTTTCGACTCAGTTTAGTCCACTCTATCTACAGAAAAGTGATTGACAAAAAAGGTCGGGACACTCTGTATTTATATAATATAAGTTTATAATATATAATATATTTAATAATTATATTCATTTATATCAATTATTAATAATATCGTTCTTCGATTACTCTTGGACCACCGGGGGTGTCCTATTGATACACTATTAAAAAAACAAAAATTTGCTTTTGTTACATGTAATGGAAGCAAATTTCAAGCAGGTATATTAAAAATATTCAATGTTGTCAATGAAAACGAAATTGTAAGTATACTTAAATTTAACGTTTACTTAAATTTCATGCAAATCTACATAAAATTGAATGAAAAATGTACTAAACTTCGTAAAATTTTATGAAAAGTACACTAAATTCCATGTACATGTATACAAATATACTTTTCTGTTGCAGATACATTAAATTTAATTTAGTGTCATAAAATCGAATTTAATTTATGTAATTAAAAGTACATTAAATTTCATAACAGTGTATGTCACGAAAATTTACCCCATCAGTACTACCGTCTTTAATAGTACCCCATCGACGAATTCTCCTATTGTGTGTCGTCCTATACATGATGTAAGAAGCAAAGGCTGCGTTCCGTTTCACGCATAATGCGTCATTTATTCTTGTTATTCACCGAATGTTAAACAAGGATAAATGATGCATTATGCACATCATGCGTGAAACAGAATGCATCCTAGGAGAGTGAATTTTGGGCCGAAATTTGATTGATATTCCAATATGTCAGCGCTGGTATACGCAGGAAAGTGCATAGAGGGCAAAATTTGATTTGTTGTTTCCAGTATTGCTATCCCCATTATGCGCAATGGTACACATTTTTCGTTACAAAGAATAGAAATTGGACGATAGGAGACTCAATGTGAATAATTTTCATTTAATATTGATATCATAATATGTAGTAATCATATGTCAGTTATTTACAAATGATATTTTACTTTTTCATTTACTGAATAGAAAAAAAAAAACAGAAAATGCGAATAGCTATAACGCGAAAATTCAAGAAACGGAATCGGAAAAGTGGAATGGTGGGGGCAACCAGTCAGCATCGTTTCGAAAACTTCATACGCGTTATAGCTACTCGTATTTACTGTTTTTTCTTCTATTGTTCAGTAAATGAAAAAGTAAAATATCATTAATAATGTAAGAAGGGGTATCCCTTCTGAATAATACTTAAATGCTTGAATATATGTCAGGACCTTTTGATGACTACGTCTTGAAGACTTTTATTTTTATTTAAAATATTACAGATCGTAGGATTAATAGATTAAGTTCTTTATAAAGCTGTTGATTCCCTCGCCATTTTCATACGACAGTCCTTTCTTATTTTAACAAAACAAAACCAACTCTCAAAACATCCAACATTTACAGTGACAACTTATAGTAAGACATGTGTATAAACATAAGACATGTGTATTACCCTTAAGCATGAGACATGATGTCATTTCCCTATTGGAAATATAGGGAAATAACATCTTACAGCTCGGCCAGCCCTGACATAATGTTCGACTCGAACATTCATTCGAAATTACATAAAAAGTGCAAAGTGAGAACGTAAATACACAACACAACTCGAATGTAATTATCGAAGACAATTATTCTGAATTTACAGGTAAAGATACAGGTAGGGCCTTAATCCAAAGTTTCATTCTATCCGGAGAAAGGATCGAGTTGTAAGATCTAGAGGTTAAACTGTAGCCGGGAATATCTTGTACCACATAGCGATTCTTGTCTAAGATTTTTGTTACTTTGAAAGGACCTTTAAAGTCTGGTTTTAATTTTCTATTCTCTCCGGTTTTTGCAGTTGAATCTCTGATCATCACGAGATCTCCTGGTTTATAAACAGAAGGTTTACGATGATGCTTATCATAAATAGTCTTATTATAGGCCTTGATTTTTTCAGCAACATTCAATGCCAATTCCTTGCTTTTCTCTCTTTCCAAACTCGAATCCTTCTCAATTCCGGCTACTTTATTCAAGCATTTAACCAAATCGGAATCTGCATTATTACGCTGATCATATCCAAGGAGAAGCTTGGATGGAGAGGACTTCAACACTGAATGTAGCGTATTGTTAAATACGTATTGAACTGTATCAAGGCAAGACTCCCAATCATGATGTTCGTCCACAAGCTTTTTTAAACAGGCTTTTAAAAAGCGGTTAGATCTCTCAGCCAAACCATTGGCCCAGGGAGCAGCCACTGCAATCAATCTATGATTTATTTTTTTCTTGCTAAGAAAATCTGAAAACTCACAAGAGGTGAATGCAGAACCTCTATCGGACACAACCCTTTCAGGATCCCCAAGAATCTTAAACAAGGAGGATAAATGTTCAACAACTTCTTTAGTAGATGTTGTCCTTGTTGGAAAAAACCAAATGAACCTTGTGAAGGCATCAATAACTACCAAAATATGCTTTGATCCCCCACTCGACTCATTCAAAGGTCCAAAATGATCCATGTGTAACACCTGGAAAGGCTCAAAAGGTGTGTCCGTAATCTGCATCTCACCCTCACTTGATTTATAACCTGTATTAGAAGTTAAACAAGTAACACAATTATTAATATGATCATGAACACGTTTACGAAGTAAAGGAAACCAATAGTGCTCACTAAGCCCATGGACTACCTTTTCAAATCCGCAATGAGCCAAATCATTATGGTAAGCTCTAATTACATTCCCAACCATGGATTCAGGGATAGCAAATCTAGGTAAATCAGATCCCTTTCGATAAACCAAGCCCTGAATTAATTCGAATTTAGGATGATCAGAATATTCTAATTGTTCAGCGATTTCTTTTATTTTAGGATCTTGCAATTGTTTAAGCTCCAGTTCCCTTTCAAGAGGCAAAGACTCGACAAAGGCAGAAATTCTGCTCAGTGCATCAACATGTGCCATTCTATGACCAGCACGATGAGAAACTTTAAATCTGTAATTCTGTAGTCTAAGGGTCCACCTGGCAAACCTAGGATTCAGGTGGGCTTTATTGACCGCGTAAACAAGAGCGTGACAATCTGATACAACCGTGAATTCAATGCCGTAAAGGTAAATATGAAAACGCTCCACCGCTCTAACCACAGCCAACATTTCCAATTCAAAGCTGTGATACTTTGCTTCCGCAGAATTAGTAACCTGGCTGAAATAAGCGATGGGAGCCCACTTCTCAGAATCACGTTTCTGAAAGAGAATGGCAGCTAAGGCAATTGCACTCGCATCAGTGTGAAGCTCAGTTTCGGCATACGGATTATAAAGTCCAAGAACCGGATAAGATGTTAATTCTTTTTTTAAAATTAAAAATGCATTTGAGCACTCCTCATTAAAATCAAAGGAGACTGATTTTCGTAATAAATTATTCAAAGGACGAGCCTTGACTGCATAATCCTTAATAAATTTGCGAAAGAAATTCGTAAGGCCAAGAAATCGCTGGACTTGTACTGTATTTTTGGGTTGAGGAAAGTCTTTCACAGCCTTGGTATGTCGGTCACTTAGAGTAATGCCAGAAGCTGAGAGAGTATAACCTAAATACTCTATTTTTGTTTTAATAAAAAGACATTTTTTATAATTCAAAATAAAATTGTACTGTTTCAGCAACAAAAATACCTCCCTCAAAACAGAGAAGTTTTCCTCGACAGTGACAGACGGCACCAAAATATCATCTATGTACACCAAAACTTTGTCTTTTCGTATAAGAGGTTGAAAGATTTGAATCATCCTCTTTTGAAATTCGGCTGGAGCTTCACAATAACCGAAAGGAAGTTTTGTGTATTCAAATTGACCATCCGGGGTCGCAAATGCAAAATACTTCATATGTTCAGGATGAACATCAATTTGGTGAAAGCCATCTTTCAGATCTAGTAATGAGAAAACCTTTTTATTGCCAAGTCGAGAAAAACAATCCTCCATTAGAGGGAAAGGATATTTCTGTTTTACCACCCGTTCGTTTAAAGGACGTAAATCAACACAGAGACGCATCGAACCATTTTTCTTAATAACCGGTACGACTCTCGCACAATAGGGAGAGATACTAGGTTTTATGATACCTCTTTGTAGAAGATCATCTGTGATTTGACGAATCTGTGTTCTCTCAGCCCAAGCAAAACGTCTTGGTGAGTACGCGTAAATAGTATTGTCTTTAAGAGACACCGTAACAGCATATCCGTCATTAATTGGAGTAACATTCATGTTTTTAATTTCAAGAATTAACGATACTAATTTCGCATCAATTGCAGTCCCGAAATCCGTTACAAAATTCGATACATCTAAATCAGAAGAAATGTTAGATATTTCATCCACTTCGATAGAAGCAATTTCAGAAAAAAGTTGAAGCTTAGATGTTTTATTTCCAAAAGCTTCACAAACAATTATAATCTTATATGTTTGAAGGAAATCACGACCGAGAATCATGTCAACAAAAAGATCATCGTCCTCCAAAATATTAAAAGTAACCTTAAATGTTTTGTTTGGAAAAACAGCGAGTTGTAATACGGTTGAGATCTCTCCACGAACATTAATTGTGCTTTTATTAATAGCCTTAAAGGATCGTGACGGGATCCTCGTTTGTATAGATGAAATATCAACAAATCTTGATAAGACAGAAGGACGGAGAAAAGACACAGCGCTTCCAGTGTCAAGTAACGCATCTAAAGAGCAACTTAGATTATTCAAAGCGGTAACCTTAATTAAGTTATCGCCAATGCTCAAAGTTGATTCTGTGTCAATACACGCCACCAAAGAAGACTCGGACGACTGCGAAGATCGTGAAAACTTCGTTGGAGATAAGGGAGGAGAAGACTGCGTTGATGGAGGAGCCACCTCTTGAACTGTAGCAATAGAAGCAAGCTGGGAAGAGGATACGGGAGATGATTTGTACTGCTCCTTCTTCTTCAAACGAAAACAATCGTCTCGTGTATGTCCCTTAGAACGACAATAAACGCAGAAAACATCCTTAGCAGGTTCTGTTGTTAGACTGTCCTTTCCAGATTCTACAATTTCATTCTTAAGTTTAGTCTTGTCCGTGGATTTATTTACAAATGGTGGGGATTTATTGGAAGAATCTCCATATGCCAAGGTAAGAGAGTACATCCTGTCAAGGAATTGATCCAAATTCTCGGCTTGAATTAAAGATGCCATTCCTCTCAAAGAAGCGTTTCCAATTCCGGAAATAAGAAAATTAATGCTTTCCTTATCCGGGAGTCGAAGATTCTGCATAAGTTTTAATTTATGCATTGCATATTCCTGGAACGATTCCTTTGAAAAATTCCATTTACGATTATCAACTCTTTGAAAAATTACCTGATATGGAACTTCTCTTCGAAATCTCTTTGAAATGGCTTGTTTAAAACACAACCATGAATCATTAACTGAGCCAGAATATAAATCCAACCAATCTTTAGCGATTTTATTTAATTTATTACAGGCCGCTAAAAGTATTACCTCGTCAGAAACACCATGAATCCGCGAAACACGTTCTATCTTGTCAATCCATAATTCAATGTCCTCATCATCTTGACCAGAATAGCTTGGAAGCTGAGATGCCAAAAGATTGACTGCTTGAGCTACTGGTACTGAAGAAAGAATTGGACTTCGTTCACGAGTGATATTATTGGAAGAATCGCATGATGAACTCATAACTTGAGGAATCGTATTGTTTAATTGAACAGACGAGACCATTTGCGTGACTTGACGAATCAATTCATTCTGCTGCTTCATCATTTCTGTGAAAAAGCCAAACATTTGAGGCATCGAATGATCAGGAGCAGAAGAATAATTCCTTGGATTATTCGCATCATCCGCCTGATGATGAGTGCGTGACGTGGACGTCTCTGAGCTGCCGGAAACCGGTTGAAAATCCACCGCATCAACAAAATCATTATAAGGGCCATGATGCTCCAAATGGGACATTATTTGGTCGATTAAGCGCTCTCGAGTAGCCTGCGGCACGAGACCATAGCTGCGAACTTCTTTAATAAGATCCTCAATAGAAAGCGTATCCAAGCGACATCGATCCATAATAATCAAAGGCGTAATGTCACTAAGGAAAGAAATGGAAAAGGAAAAAAAAAACGCAGCGACTCGGAGCAGAAAGGCACGTCAAAGAGAGCAAGCTTCAGAAATTCTTGAAAATGGCTTTATATTCAGGTGAAGATAAAGCTTTATTTTTTGAGGCTTGAATCCGATTAATCCTCTTCGAATCCCACTTCTGAACTGTAAGAAGGGGTTTCCCTTCTGAATAATACTTAAATGCTTGAATATATGTCAGGACCTTTTGATGACTACGTCTTGAAGACTTTTATTTTTATTTAAAATATTACAGATCGTAGGATTAATAGATTAAGTTCTTTATAAAGCTGTTGATTCCCTCGCCATTTTCATACGACAGACCTTTCTTTATTTTAACAAAACAAAACCAACTCTCAAAACATCCAACATTTACAGTGACAACTTATAGTAAGACATGTGTATAAACATAAGACATGTGTATTACCCTTAAGCATGAGACATGATGTCATTTCCCTATTGGAAATATAGGGAAATAACATCTTACAATAAATAATTGACATGTGATTATTACATATTATGATATCATTGTTAAATGAATATTATTCACATTGAGTCTTCTATCGTCCAATGTCATTTCTATTCTTTGTAACGAAAAAATGTATCACAACGAATAAGGCAACCGCCGATCGCCAGGTGATTCTTTTGTTTCAAACATGTTATTTTTACATAGCCAGAAGTACGTCATTAGAATTTAGCCTCGATATCGACAATATACTAGCAAACACTGCCGTTTTTGTGAAAGTTCGCGTGATATCACAACAAACAAGGAAACCGCCGATCGTCGAGGTAATTTTTTTGTTTCAAACAAACGGATTATCTTCGCGTCACTATAGGCACGTCCGAATTTAGCCTTGATATCGATAATATACTGTTATATTATCGATATATAAAGACGGCCGGTTTTTATAGAAGTTCACGTGATTGTTAAAATTTATATATTTATATAGTTTTATCAATAGAATACTTACTTCTTCGGTGTGGTATCTTCGATAGAAATATCGGCATCATCCTCGATCTCTATGCTTTCGTCAACGATTATTTGTTTGTCCGGTTTGTCGTTTTCCCTTGAATTACTGATTTCGTCCTCGCTGTCGGAGATTATCACAGAATCGCCTTCGACTCGATAATTAGAAGAATTACGCCACTGCGTGAAGCTCCTTTCGCTCCTTTCCATTTCTTGAATCAAATCCGTAAGAAGTAAACGTGGTGATAAATAAGTAAAATATAATCCGTGTTCGTCTTATTTTCTTATTTCACCGATGAGACGATGAGACCGACCCGACAATCCCGACATCACGTATAAGAATGTTTTGGCAGTTACACGAACTTGCACGAACTCGCAACAGTCGCAACTCGCACGCGGAACAGTGGGCAACCGCATTTAAGAATCATTTTAAATCTGTTACCAACGACAGGACGACGACGTAGGTCGTCAGATGGTGCATTGACTACAACAAGTCAAGAACGTCTGTTTTCTGTGGCTGAACTAGTGTACACTTTTGGAACTTAAAGTGAGATAGATATTTGTTTAAAGCGAAAAAGAGAATTCTATAACAGTCTAGTACAGGAACAGAAAATAGACTAAAGGCCTGTTCTTTTTGGCTAAACTTTTGCACCAGTTTATCTTTCTTCCTTATAGCGTTTTCGGCCCGACCGGGTTTGCACCAACCTGGGTTGGATTAATGGCGTTTTGCGCTCTCCTATTGGTAGAGCGACATCGTACGACGCAAATCGGATGCAGTGTGAATCCAGCATTAGGCGTAAAAGCTTGTGTTCACGATGCTAGAAATCGGTCCGAGACCTCGGATGAAGAAAGAATTGACCATTCGCAATGGTCATGTGATCAAATTATTCAAATGTGATTTGTTAATTTTTTCCCTGTCCGAAATCTCGGACCGATTTCTAGCATCGTGGACACCGGGCTTAATTCCGAACGTAGCCCTGTATGCGTGTGTGTATATTTTTTTTAGGTTGTATGCGTTAAGATTATATATTGCAGGTCTATCAAAATATGTCAGAATTATAAATTAATCTAAGAAGTAGTGCTTAAATTCATTATGAAATAAGACATTGGTCCTGAGAATGGCAGCTTTAATAAAAAAACGAGTACTAGCTGAATTTAATCAGAGCCAGGCGGTAATATTATATTATATGTTCTTTTCTATTTATGAAGCATAGCTACTTAAATCATTATTTTAACAAATTACAAAATTTTTAATCAGATTGTTAATGAGCCTCCAATCAAACGGCTAAAGACTCTAAGGTTATTATCGACGTCTGGTGCGAAGAATGGTACTGACAGTAGCTCAGCATTAGCTTACATAGAATGTTTGGAGAAATGTAAAAGTGGAAATGATGCATTGCAATTGCTTGTTCGTATTTCGGATGCTATAGTGTATATAGCGCCAGAGGATGTTCCCATTGCTATAAAGAAATTAGCGGAGAGATTTGTTGTTGAAAATGAAATTGCAGTTAGAGCCAAGATTTTCTGGGTGTTCGCTGAATTAGGAGAAGTAACGCCTGACACTTTGGAAAAAGCAAAAATTGTGAATGAAACAGCTGAACTTTTAAGGAACGAGGAATCACACCGAGTAAAAAGTCAGGGATTAGCAACGTTGCTAAAGTTAGGAGATTATCAAAGGTGTACATACATGTTATTGTATCTCCTCTTTCTATTCTTTTCTTTAAGATGTAATTCTTATGCATATATATATTTGCCATTATAATTTAAATATTTACTTTAGTTAATAAAATAAAAACACTTTTTATTGATAAATTAATGAGAAGAAATATTTTTGTATCTTTAGAGCACTAGTATTGAAGATTGCACAGGAACATTTGCCTGACACTTGGCATGGTGTTCAAACGCGATGTCTTTCGATTATTGGACGTTATCTAACTGCAAACACCGCTGATGATATTTTAACATTAATTGGTAATTATGCCCGTTCTCAAGATCCACGGGTTCGTGCTCAAGCTTTCGAAACCATGGCAGAATTACATTCTCATAGAGGTTGTAGACTCCCTGCGAGTTTTTTCAAGGAAGCCTGTGCAGCTCTTGGCGATGATTATGAGATTGTACGCCGAGCTGTTCTTAAACTTATCTATCTTTTAGGCCGGGAGTATCCAGAAAAGTCAGTGTATATAAATATAAACATATTCTAAAAATAAAATCTTTCAACTAATTTTTTTTGCATGTTTCTTTTATATATTATAGTATCGTTGTTGGATCTGATGGAGAGGATGTGCGAATGGTAGACTGTGCCTTTTCACAAATTTGCAGTCTTATGGGTGATTTATCACCTCGTGTTAGAGCTTCAGCAATGTCCCTTTTGGGAACCATGAAAAGTGTGTCACGTCGCTACATAGAACAAGCCTTGGATAAAAAACAAAAAGTAGTTGAAGCAGACAGACCCGAAGTTGAAGAGAAAAGTGGATCTTGTGGAGCATTCATTCATGGTTTAGAAGATGAATTTTTAGAGGTATGAATTTATCACATTATGTAAATTGAGAAAATTTCCATAGAATATTTATTAAATCATCGAATCAAAAATTTATATTTCACATTTTTTCAAATTTATTATAGTTAAACTTAAAAACAGTTTAATTATATAATTGAACTTTTTTTTCTATGATCATTTCTCATATCGATTAAAAATAAATTTTATTTTAGGTAAGAACAGCAGCAGTTGAAGCACTCTGCACACTTTCGTTAGAACAACCAAGTATAGCTAGAATTTCATTGGACTTTATGGTGGACATGTTTAATGATGAAATTCAGGATGTCAGATTAAGAGCTATCGAATCTTTAAAGAAAATGTCATCAAGTGTAACTCTTCAAGAGGACCAATTGGAAACAATTTTAGGCGCTTTAGAAGACTTCTCGGGAGAAGTGAGAGAAGGCTTGCACGCTATGTTAGCTGCTAGTCATCTCGCTACTACAAATTGTCTTTACATGTGCGTTAATCGTTTGTTAGATAATTTATCTCGGTATCCTCAGGA